GAACTTCTATACATGCTGGAGGGGGGAAAAAGTAATTGGATAGATTCCAAACTTGATCTTTCTTCTCATACTCTCTGAAGACATTGTTTCTGCAAGTGAATGAGAAAACAGAACCATACTTTTTTAAAATCCAGATTTTTAAGTCTTATGTTCAGGGGATTTTTTTCATATATGTTTACTGAATTTTTGTGTATTTTATACAAAACATCTTAATCATCTTTATATCCCCTTCCCAACTGTCACCCTCCCATAGCATCCCCCGACTGGAAATCATGCATTCTCTCACTAGCTTTAAGGCCTATCGAGTCATGTTAGTATCCCAGGACCTCCCTCAGTACAAGTTTATCCACTGAGATCTAGCCTATCTAGAGGCCCTCCCTTTAAGAAAATCAGCTCTTACTCACCCACCAGTAATCAGCTGCCAATAATTCTTTGACTAAGATTGGGACCTGCTGCCCATTTTCACAGTTCTACACTGGGTTTTTGTCTGCTTGAGTCTGAATGGGTCTTGTACATGTTGACACTGTTGCTGTAGGTCCATATGAGCAAAGGCTCAGGTCGTTGTAGGACTCTTATTTCCATATGGTCAAGAACCTCCTGGCTCTTACAATCTTTCTACCCCTCTTCCAAAATGGTCCCTGAGCCCTGGGTGGGTGGAGTATAATAGAGAAGTCCTGTCCAAGGACCCACACTCTGCAGACACTTATTCTCTATGCTTTGGCCATTTGTGTTCTTTTGTGTTCATGGCTCTCTGATGCATGAGGGAGCTTTGTTGATGAGAGTTGAGAGATGCATTAGTATTCTCTCTACCCCTTGTTCCCCTATGTTTTGTGAGCCTTAGATGTAGAAATATAAGGGATTTTTTTTTAGCCTTTCTGGTTTCTCAACAATTCAGAGAAATTTTCAAAACAATCAAGTGCAGAGAATAACAGCCAAACTCAATGACTATTTTTCTCCTCAGTCATATATCAGTCACTCCATGCATCTTGGTTTTCAAAATATGGTCTGAGAAAAAATTCCATAGTTCTCATGTCACATGTTGCACACAGAAGTAGAGAACAAATCAGGCTCGACACAGCTATTTAAAAGTGTAATACGCTAATACCTCCCCCATCCCATCCCAGGTCACAAGAGGATTGAAAATGCACTTAAGTTAAGAATCTTCTTGACAGAACCTGGTAGTTGCTTTAAGTATCAGTATCAATTAGTTCTCTATAGACAGCCTAAAGTAAACACTGAAATTAGCTAAAATTCAAAGTCCCAAATTATATACTTTATAACCTGTACTTACTATATACTTTATAACCTGTACTTAAAAATCTTTACACATAACATTTATTTTTATACATCCCCTGATAAATTCCAATGAAGAGTTTCACAAGACATTAAATATTTAGCAAATATACAGAAATTGAGTGTTTTGTGACACCAGCATATTCATTCATTCACCTACTCATCCACCACATAGAAGTCTAGACATACCAGTGGCCTTCTAAGTAACAGAAATATAGTAGTCACCCAAACAAAGCCCATATCTTCATGGGTTTCTGTTCTGATAAAGAGAGAGACTGGGAGCTGGAGAGATGGATCAGCAGTTAACAGCACTGGCTGTTCTTGTAGAGGACCCAAATTTGGTTCTCAGCACCCACATGGTGGCTACCAACCATCTATAACTCCAGTTTCGGAGGAGGGGGGCGGGGGGAATCCAATGTCCTCTTCTGACCGCCACAGGCACTGCATGGCATGGGTGCACTTACATACACACAGGCAATATGCTCATACACATAAAATAAAAATAATAAATAAAGCTGGGTGTGGTGTCACACGCTAGTAGTCCCACCCAGCACTCAGGAGGCAGAGGCAGGCAGGAGGATCTGGGATCTCTGTGAGTCCAAGGCCAGCCTGGTGTGCATAGTGAGTTCCAGACCAGGGAGACCCTGTCTCAAAAAGATCCAAAAAAAAAAAAAAAAAAGAGGAAGAGGAAGAAGGAGAAGGAGAAGAAAAAGGAGGAGGAGAAGGAGGAGGAGGAAGAAGGAGAAGGAGAAGGAGAAATAAAATATTTTAAAGAGATAGATCGATAAGAAGGGTAGAGAAAAGTTGGTGAGATGGCTCAGTAGGTAAAGGCATTTGCCACCAAGCCTGAAGACCTGAGTCCACCCACATGGTGGAAGAAGAGAACTCCTCCATGTTGTTCTCTGCTCTCCACACATGTGTGTCATGGTACACATATACACATGCACACACAGGTGGCCACAACCCACACAACCACACATACACAAATACACACAATAAAAAAAAAATGTAAAAAGCAGGGCTGAGGATAGCAGGTACAATTCAGGAAGGAGCGAATAAATAAGGGTGAGAGAAGAGGTTGTAGATTAGTGTTTAAAATACATAGTCACCTATGGAAACCCGAAGAACATGAAGTTCCAGAGCCCCAGGCAGAGAAAGTAACAACTGCAGAGGTCTCGCACCTGAACCCACTTGTAAAGAAACACACGGCGGTATGGCTACCATGGAGGGAATCAGACTAAGTGCAGCGGGAGGTGGCAAAGAGAAGGATCTAGATCTCTCCAGGCCATTTTCATGACCTGAGCATAGTGTGAGAGTGGTGGGAAGCAGAAATGACCCCACTTAATGTTTTCAAAGTGATGTCTAGCTGGGTGAGCACAGGCAGGAAGGGAACAAAGGTTGAAACCAGACCAGCTCACTGTGAAGATCACAATGTATTCAGGAGAATAGTTTAGCTTCATTTGTTTATAGGCTGTGTTTCATTCTTCCAATGGTATTCCAATAACCCCAACAGCCGTATACTCAGTTTCTCTCTTGTTTGCCACTGGACTAGGAGTTAGAGTGTTTGAGGAAGACACAAGAGTCAGGCTACTTTTCAGACTCTGTGACCCACTGGACAGTTCCCTTAGTTCAATTAATCTAAATTAAACAAAGATTGCTCATAAATAATCTTATTTATTTATTTATTTACTTATTATTTGTTCCAAATAATCTTCTCCAAATACCCCTCATAAATATCAGAAAACAAATTTGTTGTTGTTTAATTTTTTTTATTTTATGTGTATGAGTGTATTGCCTGCATGTGTGTTAAGTGTACCCATGTCGTACAATGCTCACGGAAATCAGAAGAGGGCATTAGATTCCCTGGAACTGGAGTTACAGACAGTTGTTAGCCATCATGTGGGTGCTGGGAACCAAACCTCTGCAAGAGCAGTGTTCTTAACACTGAGCCATCTCTCCAGCTCCTGTTGTTTTTGAAACAAGGTCTCACTATGTAGTCCCAGCCGGCTTGGAACTCACTAAGAACAGCATCCCAGGCTGGCCTCAGTCTCACAGAAATCCAACTACCTCTGCCCCCTGAGTGCTGGGATCAACATTATGTGCCACTACTCCCAAGTCAGAACAAATATTAATTTACATACTATGTTCAAAGGTTTCAAATTATTGTAGTTATTCATAACACTCATCAGAACACATGTACAGCATCATAATCAAAACCCATTTCACTAATACTCCTGAAAGAAATTAAAATAAAGGTATATCAGAAACAATAAAACCCATCAACACTCTCCCAGACTCCCATTGCACTGTTAAAGAAACTCTCTTATAATGAAGACAATCACTGTATCTCCAACTTCCCCAAGTTTAGCATGTCTGATGGCAGCATCACCCGAAGCATGGTTGTGAGCACTTTCAGGTACTAAAAGCTGAGTAGTAAAAGCTATACACATCTCATATCTTTCTGTTTAGCAACATTTGAGTACTATTAATTGGTTAAGAGGGTGTCGGAAACACATGCTTTCCCGTGCACTTTGGTGATTTCATCCTATGCTCAAAGCACTCCAATAAATTAAATCATCCAACTGTGTCAGGAATCACAGCTGGCATGGTACTGCTCTTTGATGATGAACAAGCAACATAAACTAAGATGCTGATTCCACTCTGCAGAATTTTATTTTCAGCATCTTGTATAATGTTACTAGGCAGATTTTTGAACAAAAATAAATGTTATAATATTGTTCATTTTGGTTCTGCAAAACCTAAGCCCATCGATGGCTTCCCCCTCCCCTTTTCCAAAAGGCAGGCAGCAGCTACCGTGTAGACAGAAATTGGGTTGGGGGTTGGGTAAAGACTATTAAATGGATAATCCAGCACTTTGCTTACCAGCGGAGCTTTAATGGGGGGGGGGGGGCAGGAACTAGGGCACTGTTACAGTCATATAAACTACACCCATATTTCTTCACCCTCGCCATGTCAAGGGTCTGCCTCATTTACATTCCACTAACAAGGAGATCTCCTCTGGAGGATGGGCAGGCTATGCTACCTCTGGCCAAGGCTTACCTACCTGTCTCTCTCCCTTTCTCCTTCACTCAACTACAAACTCCTGTTTTATTCTTTCTTTCGTCTTATTGTACCAAAGGCATTTTTTCCATGCTGCCCTAAACCTTTCCTGAAATAAGGAGAGAAAAATAATGAAATAAATGGAGATCTCTTTTTCAGGGTCTAAATTTAAATACAGCAGGGAGAGACGGTGGAAAAACTGTGTGGGTGGGTGTATATGGCGAGATTGCTCCGTCTCTAGAAAAGAATAGAATGCTAAAGGGATTGGGGGGGGGGGGGGAGACAGAGACAGAGAGAGACAGACGGAGAGAGAGAGTACAATCATTCCCAGAATACAGGAAGAATTCAGGAAGAAGGGAGAGAAAAGAAAACCACCAGTGGAAAGCAGGCACCCACCTCGACCCACTTCCCGACCCTTCTCCAACCCACTGCAGTGTTCTGCGCTTCTCAGAAAGCTTAGCACCTACAGGGCAGATTTCCCACCAGAGCAAAGAACCAAGGCCGGACAGGCAGTCTGGGGAGAGACCAGGAGGAACAGTGACTGCTGAGGAGGAGCTATGTGCTTAGGAAAGGACCTAAGAAGCCCGCCAAGCCAGATGCAAATGCGGGCGGACATGGAAAGGCAAGGCCAGGCCGCCAGGACCTACCTGGAACCGTCACAGTAGGGGATGCCACCCGCACCTCTCTCTCCTCCTCTGCCTCCTCCCGCTGCTTTTGCTGCTGCTGTTGCTGCTGCTGCTGGATGAGACTGAGGTCGGAGCGGCCGAGTTCGGCTCTGGCGGCCGCGGGGACCAGGCGCGCTTTCAGCAGCACGGCGGCCAGGCCAAGGAGCAGGGTGCAGGGGACGCGCAGGCAGAGCCTCGCCATGGCCGAGAGCCAGCGGGCCGTGGCGGCATATTGCGGGGCTGCGGGCGGCGGCGGGCGCCAGGGCTGCGGATCCCGGCCGCGCCCGCTCGCTCGCTCCCCCTCTCGCTGTCTGCGGTGCAGAGCCTGGGCGGGTGGAGGAGGAGCGGTCCGGGAGGAGGACCGCGAGCCCGGCTTCGCATCTTTGTGCACGTGACCGCCGGGAGGAGCGAGCGGGGGACTGGGTCCTGCGCCCCAAGCTATGTACAAGCAGCTCTGGATGCGGGATGCTGATGCTGGGTGGAGGGCCGGGAGACTATAAGGAGAGACTTTCAGTGGGGTAACGGACCTTCAGACGCATAGCCCCTTAGGACACAGTAGGAAAATGTGCAGAAAGTGTAATAAAATTACCCCCACCTGACCTCAGGGTAGACAAGAAAGTGGCACATTGATTACCTTCAAATAACAGGTAATATTCCGAAACAGGTAGTGTGGTTCCAAAAGCCAAGCTCCTTTGAGGGACTATGTCTGCAGCTCCACGGCTTAGGTTCAATTGCCACTGTAGACTTTCAATAAACTCTTTTGCTGCCTGAGTGAGAATTTCTGCATCATGAAATATTCCCAGTTATACTTTTTACCTAATTGTAATCTCTTCATTTGTTCAAAAAAATTACCAAATATTTAGCTAGGTGCTTACTATTATATGTCAGTATTTAGTTAGATGCTTTGATATGTAAAATACAATCCCTTGGAAGAGTTCACCACCTGATAGCGGAGAGGAATATATAAGCAAAATACAGTGCACCGTGGTGTTTGCAAATGAAAAAGTATTACAGTATTCAGAAATTGTGAAGAATTGAACGAAATCAGCCATGATCTGTGGAAAGCGTTGTGAAAAATTGAGGAAGGCAGGCTGTAAAGAATAGGAGTTTATATTGAAATAGGCGCAATCTAAAAAGTGGGGGTCTGGGGGGTGCGCGTCCGTGTGTGTGTGTGTGTGTGTGTGTGTTAGGCCTAATAGCACAATGTGCTTGGGAAAGTGTAAGAGCCATAATCTTAACAGAGATCCTATTCTACTGTAAAAAGGACAGTGGAGACTAAATCGTTAAGCTGGTGCTTGTCTTTAATCCCAACACTCAGGAGGCAGAGGCAGGCGGATCTCTGTGAGTTCAAGCCCAGCCTAGTCTACATAGTGAGTTCCAGGCCAGCTGGGGCTACTGGGAGACCCTGTCCCAAAAAAGACCAAAAAAAAAAAAAAAAACCTAGCAGACACTTTTATAGTACTTGGGGGGGGGGTGGGCACTGTTCCCATATTTCACAGATGTTAACTCCCCCAATTACCTTGGATGCTGTATAAGCAAGCTGGCATTCACACTGCAGACCATTTTCAAAGAAACTGATCCGGGAAGGGATTCCCTACCAGTCCTACATTCTTTGGGTCACTTTACTGATTATCAGTATGGACAACAGATTAGAGTGAAAAGATTTGGGAGAGGCCACATTGGAGGTATTTGTTTTTTGTTTGTTTCTTTGTTAAAAAAAGAAAAGAAAAGAAAAGAAAAAAGACAAAAAAAGCCCACAAGAAGCCAAAGACTTGTGAGCTGGGAAAAAAAAAAGAGGAATGGTGGAGAAATTTGGTACCTAGGGTTGGAATCAACAGAGATGGTGATTGGAGTTGATATGTGCATGGTGGGTGTGTCTAATGTGATGCCCAAGCTGTCAGGTTGAGATCTTGCATCATTACTTATGACATTATCAGGATCAACATGTAGAACTGACTAAGGAATAATTCTACAGTGAAGGCCACCAGCTTGATCAACTGGAGTGTTTTGTATTTGGAGTACTGTGGGAAGTTTCTATAGATCATCTGTCTCATCTGGCTGTGACATCACTCTGTCTGCCTCATAGCCAGTTCAGCGGATTAGCACTTGAAATATCTGCTTCCCATGCTCTCCTTTCTTACAGCTGTCCTCCCCAAGGTTTCTTACTTGGTGGAAAACAACAGGTTGCTCAGTGGTGGGAAATTATTCTTTGGTCAAGAATATAAAAATGCCTACATAAAAAATAAAATAATAATAGATGTTTACATACATTATCTCATATTTTCAGAGCAGCTCTACAAATTAACTCTCATTGTCTTATTAAGCAGATGGAACCAGTGACCACTGGGGAGGCTCTGCTTTTTGCCCAAGATTATACCAAGATTATGTGCTTTTATCTTTTTGCACTGTTTGAATGTCTATTTTCAGCTTATATTGACTTTTAGTGAATTTTAAATAAAAAATATGTGGACCACATATTGCTTAGGAAATAGATGCCAAAATGTGGTGCCACAGCTTTGTTTCCTATATGAACAGGTGCTACTGGAAGAAGGGCACTTAGAGTGAGCCTCCATCAGTCTCCTTAGGCTGTCTTCAATTCATTCTCTCTGAAGCTACCTCTGCAACTGGACAGAAGAAAGGAAAAATGGAAACAACTCCAAAAACCTGACTGGCAATTCAGAAAAAGGTATATTACCAGGACTTCTGTTCTTCACCTTGTGGTGCCTAAGTCACATACCAAACGCAAACTCTGTATGCAACGTACAGAAACACAGCCACAGGACAGGTGGACCTCATCTTTCAATACTGAGTATTATTTATAGAGATAAATTTGGCCATTCAAAAGTATTTAGATGGTTTTTAAATTTTGCATTACTCACAAAGTTGATATGCTTAATATCTGTGGAATCTATAAAAATTCACATTACCTGATGCAATCAGGGCTAATGGCAAAATAAAACTATTGGTTGAGACACATAAAATCAATATCTGAGGGCCAGGTGTGGTGGCACATGCCTTTAATCCCAGCACTTGGGAGGCAGAGGTAGGCGGATCTTTATGAGTTTGAAGCCAGCCTGGTCTACGTAGTGGGTTCCAGGACAGCTGGGGCTACAAGGAGACCCTGTCTCAAAAAAAAAATCAATATCTGAAGCACTTATTTTATCCTAAAATAAATAAATGCACATTCATTTTCCAATGTTTTTCTGTAAGGTCAAGATTACATCCTAGGGTTTGAAGCAATAAGTGCATTAGACTCCACTGCTGTCCTCTATAATTCTATCATAAGTGGAAAAAGTTCTTAAAGATCCTTGACAGTGCCTGGGTATAGTGGAACATTTCTTTAATCTCAGCACTTGGGAGGCAGAGGCAGGTAGATCTCTGTGAATTCATAGCCATCTTGGTCTAATTAGTGAGTTCCAGGCCAGCCAGAGCTACATAGTGGAGACCCTTTCTCAAAAAAGAAGAACAAAAAGTCCTTGACAAACAACATGATGCCATTCCCTTCTATGTCTTTTTTCCCAAACATTCACTCTTTTCTCACACATTTAGTATAAGCTACACTTTATAAGTATATTTTATTCATTTCCTATAACATGTAGAACTAGCTCAAAAATGTCTTTGAAAAAACATAACTGACTTTTGGGATATAAAAAAAAACCTGTGGGGGTAAAAACAAGCAGATATTTAGGAAGATATAGCCTGCAAACTCTAAGTGCCATAAATGTCAGTCTATAAAGGGATGGATAATATCAACTAATGCAGGAAGCTATCTGCAGTGATGACGTCCATGTTTAATGCAGTATGATCACTAGTGTTTGAAATTCTTTCACTTACAAAAATGCTATAAGAGTTATCAAAATGCAAAGTATAATTACATGATATATATGAGATTGTTTTGGCCTGAGACCTACTGCTGCCTCCGTTGCTCTTACACAGACTCTCAACATCACAAGGCTGCTTACAATCTGTCCTCTGATGACTCAGGTTCATCTTTTAATACTTCCTGCATTAAATGCTCGTATACATACATACACACACACACACACACACACACACACACACACCCCACACACAAAGAAAAGACTTCCCTATTCCTTGGAGCCAGACTTATTTGAGCTTCCCTGAGACCACTACACCTGTGATTTCCTCTGCCAGAACTCCACTTCCCTCACCCACAGGTAAGCTCCCATCAGACCTGAAGAGTACAGCTTAGACATGCCTTCCTTCAGGACACATTTCCTGACTTTGGTTAGGAGCCTTTGCTATGAACATGCATTGATTGCACTCATGTTTCCCCTTATGACTCTTTTATTCAAAATGAACCTTTATCTACATGTCCTTACTAGCACAGGTTCCCAAAGGCCAGAAGCATCATGTTTATAGTTGTGTTTCCAGCTCCTACCATTGCCTGACACTGACTGCTTCTCAGATTGATTAAAACAGTAACTGTTGGTTAAGGATGGAATGCCTTTCAGTCAGCTCGCTTTGTTATCTACCACTCATAAGTTACATGATTTATATGTGAGTCTAAGTTTCAGCTTCTTCAACTGAACCATTGGAAAAATAATAGGACCTAAAAGAGCTTAGAAAATGAGAAAACATGTACAACACTTAGGTTTTTGTTCATCAAAAGTGTTCTGTAAATGCAACTATCATATCTTCTGTTGAAATGATGTATGGTTTGTGCTGGAAAGCTTTAGTTGTCAACTTGACATACCTGGTTAGAGGGAACCTCAGCTGAGGAATTATCTTCATTGGATTGGTCTGTGGCCATGTCTGTGGGACATTTTCTTGATTTCTGAGTGATGTGGGAGGGCCCAGCCTACTGTGGGTGGTGCCACCCCTGGGCAGATGGTCCTGTATCGTATAAAAAAAAGCAGGCTGAGCATAGGCCAGAGGAGCAAGCCAATAAGCAGTTTTCCTCTATGGTCTATGCTCCAGGTTCCTTCCCTGAGTTCCTGCCTTGGCTTACCTTGATGATGGATTGTGCTGTAAACCCTTTCCTCCCCAAGTTGGTCTTGTATTTTTACCATAGCAATAGAAAGCTAACCAATCCATGGTTGTTCCATGTTCCATATGTGTGTGTGTGTATGTATGTGTGTCTGTGTGTCTGTGTATGTATGTGTATAATTTTGTTATATACACCTAGTTATGGTTTATCATGGTAGTTATACCCTATAAAGTCACCAAAAACACCGAATTGCTGACACTGAACCATTTTCCTAATTTTAGGAGGTTTCTGTGTGCCTCTGGTCACATTTTCATCAGCTGACAATAAATAATCTTGCTTTGTGTGTTTTCCCATTCAAAGTTACCTTTCATATAATTGCTTCACTAACATTGAATTC